AGGAACAGTAAGTTCCAGAAATCCCATAAAAGCATCTGTTTTGCGCAATGTGGTTTCCAGAACTCCAACCAGTATTTCTTTTCCAGTCTCTGAGATAGAGTTATTTTGGGATTATTGCCTGTGTGAAACTGTACCATGTTCACAAGAGTACTTTCTCTTGTTTTCCAGTTTGCTGAAAAATCCTGGCCTTGCAGTAAGGCAGCTGACTCTCGTTTCCGGTGCGACTACAAAACTTGGAAATGGCCTCCGTGTCAGGTTAGTCCAAATTATAACTCTGTGCTAACCACACTCTAGCTAACCCTCTACTTTCTTGCTTTGCCAAAATTCAGCTGGACCTTTCTGGCTGTTTTCTGCCTATCTTTTTAAAAAACATAAAAATACAAAGAATGTAAAGAATACATATTGCTCTTCGGTGTTCCAACTCACAGCTGTTGAGTGATGACTGACGATGGGCATTTGTCTGTATGGCTGTCCTACAGTGTTTCTTCTCCCACTTTTTCAGGCACTTTTGTGGGTCGAAGCATACCAGTCGAAGTGGATGAATCCATGCCGTGGTCCCCATTTCCCGAACATGTCTTAGAAAATGCTTTACAGCCTTCTGGAGAGGATATGGGGGATGAGGAGTCCCAGAGACCGTGTGTCGCTCGAACACCTCAGCCTGTGGCAGATCCCTCATGCCTCTGCAGAGCACCAGCACATCATCAGTCAGCACCATCCATGGAGCCGGACAGCAGCTTGTGGTCAAAATATACCAATCCTGATGGCAACGGACGCTTCTGTTCCCCTGGTGAATCAATAGCTGGAATATTTCCCTCCAAGATGCATCTTGCAGCTATGGACAAACCAGGCATGCAGCCAAGATCACAGCTTTCAGCTGACACTGGGCATAACTCCAGTAAACCAGAGCAGAGCTTGCCTAATGCTCCTGAGGACCCACTGGAGGAGGGCAGCCAAGGGAGTTCACAGTCACGGCAACCCTCAGGAAACAGACCCCCAGCAGAGGTGGGGACTGTGGACACAGGGTACAACTCCCAGTCACGAGACGTCATGGGCATCAGGCACCTGGAGCCCCCCTTACCGCTGGTGTCTGTGCTGAATCCCCAGGACCTCCCAGGACCACTGATCTCCAGAGAGTTTTTTGGACCTGAGGATCAGCAGTGCCCTATGTGCCAGCACTTGCCCCATCCCAACGCCTCCTCGCAAGCACACGGCTGCTTTGGGCACCGCTGCCCAGCAGAGCAGCAACCCCAAGGCCCATGTAAGTAGCACCACCGCTCACCCCACGGGAGGTTTTCCGGGTGTATCACAGCCTTCATTCACCAAGCTGGTGTTTGCCTACTCTACTTAATGGCAATGCACAGCATGCAATTATTAACCTTTTTAAACATATATTTTCAGTCCATTTTTTATTTCCGGATTTTTGGGTTGTGCAGCCAGGGTCTCTGATGCAGAACCTCTGAGCCAGATAAAAAGTTAAAGAGCTCACAGTTACTCATCAAATGAAGGCTAATAATTTTTGCCTAGAAACTAGCCTTTGTCAGTCACGCTGAGCATATAGAGCCTTCTCCCTGCTGTTATTTCATATTCTAGTAATTTCCTTCCTCCTTGCATCAGTCATTCAGCAGCCTCCTATACCGACTTAATTCCTGTTGTTTTCATAGTTTTCCTTGCTCCCACTTGAATCCCCAAAGTTGAGAATTTCCTGCCAGAATCAGGATGGGATGTTGCCCTTGATCTCTGTAAATAGTATCTCCCAGCTTTATGACCAAACTCACCCGTGTGTTTTATTTCTATGTGAAAAGAGCGTGACATCCATCATCCTCATTTTTTTCTGTTGTCAGCTGAAATGAAAGCTCATTACTTAAAATGGAGCCCTCTCAGCTGCTGGTGAACGCTGATGTGACTCCGTCAATATGGGTGTTTTGGCTCTTGGAGACTATGATGCAGTTTACAGCCTGCTATTAATTAGTATTCCTTTTCAGTCTGAGATTTTTATCTGTTATGAAGTAAGCTTTGAACATTCAACAGCAGTATCATTGTTTTAATATAATTTATATTACATTAGACTCATGAGACCCCGACCCGATTTAGACTGGCTTTGTAATAAAAAGCTGTAGGCCTGTTCTGATAACCTTTTTTTTTTTTTAACCTTCTGTTGACTCCACAGCATTTATATTACATCTGTTTAAGGAGTTTTGTCATTCCAGCAATGTGCTATAATTAGGTATATGAAAGAGAGAGGGTATCAGAGCCTCAGTTTTCACCTCTGATCTTGGACTTTGTAAAAGGGAAGGGGCTACAGATGGATTTTAATCAATGTCTACTTAGAGCTGAACATTTGCAAAATGTCCTCTTGTTTTCTTTTCATAGCTTCGCCTTTCTGTTCCGCTTTAGGCAGACAAAGAGCTGGTTGCACAACACCCCTCACTATTTACCTCCATTTACCTCCTCCACACACAGGCATAGTGAGAAGTAGGACATTTACTGAATGAGGCCATTTTGTTTTAAAGCAGGAACTCTGAAAGACTTTCTTTAGAAAAATCACTACCATTTCAACCATATCCAGAGGGCAAAAAGAATAAAATAAACTCAGATGGCTGGAGCAGATTTGGTCAGGACCAAGAAGCTGGCAACTGTACTCCTGTTTCTCACACGCCCAGTACAGCGTAAATCACCTCCTGACAGCTCCTTGCGTTTCAGATAATTGTTGGGCAGCGGCAACCCACAACAAAGCTCTGCAGTTTGTGTGTCACAACACGCCTCTCCCGGGGAATAGCAATTGTGCCCGTAGGCTCTAAGCTGGCTCCGGACACCTGCTATTTGAGATACAACAGCAAAACTGCTTCTGAAGTCAAAGAAATCCTCGCAGCAATGCTATGTGCCCAGGGACCATTATTTCAGATTTTTATATATGAGAGCTATTGGTGTGTGCGGGCACGCACGCTTGGCCATGCTGTGCTTCTGAACGGCAGCGGTTGCATCTATTAAAGTACTGTAGCATCAGACAGAACCAAAGGAAGCTGCTGAAACATTGGCCTAAAAACCTGTAAACCAAACTCAATCTCCCAGAGCCCTGCCACCTTCCCTAGAGCTGGTAATGAATCCATGAGAAGACCATATTTACTTTCATTTTGTTCTCCCAGCCTCTTTCACCCTGTCCTGTGGCAAATAGTTAAGAGGGGGAGGAGGAAAATCTCCCAAAACAATCTCAATGAATACAATGTTGCCGACTCACAATTTTATCAGGAACGTCTTTGTAATTGTGGGCTTCGTTGTTTGGGGTTTTTTTTTAAAGTATTGGCTCCTGGAATTGGACTATTTCATCACAGCTTTGTTTTCTTTCTTTTTTTTTCCTCCCCTTTTGAAAAAAAAATTTAGTCCTCATGGCTGCTAGGAAAAGGAAAGCATGACCCTAAAATAGCTAAAAGGATTTAAAAAAACAATCTGGGAGGGGAAAAAAGAGTGTTTGAGTACTGCAGCTTTCAGAGTCAGCTCGTAACACCATAATCATGCAGCGCTAATAAGCCCTGCCAGGCTGGACTTTGATCTGCGCACAGCAGCTTGAAAGTGCACAGAGCTGCTGCCTAATGAAAACTGCAAGCAGAAAGACTGAAAAAAAAAAAAAATAATAGTTTTTCCCGTTTGGGAAACAAACAGCTTACATTGCTTTCTCTTTCAGTTTATGCCAACAGTTCCATTGTACGTTAGTTATTAAATAGCACTACGTGCACGAGGCAAACAACAGTAAGGTTTTTTAGAATTACTTGAGCAAAATTGCCACTTTGGGCTTCTTCCCCTGCAGCCTCCGGGATGGCAACAGGAGCAGCAGCAAGGCCTTAAAAGGTCACTTGGGCAGAAAATTCATACAGGGTGAAGTAACAAACTAAGAGATTACTTTTTCTCTTTTCATTTACAATAATCACAGTCTGTTTAGCCTTAGTGTTGCAAACTGATTTGTTCCAGGATTTTGCATCTGCTTTCACGAGAACATTGGGATGATTCATTTTCACAAGTTATTGCCAAAAATAAAATTAAAAAAAACCCCAAAGAACACTGAGACATAGTAAGTGCAGGGACAAAGCAGCCCTGAACGTTTAACCGTCAGTTGTCCCAACAGCCCAACCGAGGGTGGGGACCTGAACTGTGCTGTATGTGAACAGGGAATAGGAAACTTCGGACTGTAAAACGTTCCTTAATCTGGCTTCTTTCAGACCAAGGTACCTGCAAATGCCTCCAAACTGTTCAGTTTCCCTAGACATGAAGAAGGACTTGCCTGAAGAGGAATAAATACAAACTGAGGCAAAAATATATTGGCTGAAATGATAGTTGCTGCCGTTACTTTCTCACCCTTGCAGATGGCAGAGCTCCTTACCAGCATTTTGCACATACATCGCAACCGCTTCCTCCTGTTCCTGGACCTTGCATGAGAGTTATCCATCTGGCCCAGCAAGTCATCCCAAATTACTCAAACCTTCGTGCTCCCAAGGGCACCGGAGACCGACCACCCCAGAGGACATGCTCCTCCCCTGGTCCTCCTCGATTCCCGTAAGTATGCCTCGGGGAGAGGGGTGGGTTGTGGACAGTGGAAGCTCCTCTGATCTGATTTTATGGGCTTTCAACCAGTAATTCTGAAGCCTTGTAATGTTAGCGTGCCCGGGCTGCAGGGGTACATGCGAGGTGCTGGGTAGTTTTCTTTATTTGCTATTTTACACCCAGCGGGGGCCTGACCTTACCCCAGAGAACTTCAAAGCCAGTTACCCGATATGTTGTTACAGCACACCCTGAAATGCATGCATTAAGGAAGATAAACGCTCGAAGGTTAAAGGGATGAAGGGTTGAAAAAGATCTCAGCTGAAATCTTAGAGCTCTCCTGCTAGAGAGCAAAGGTCAATTTTGCAGCTCACTGCGGTCTTCAGCTTTACGGTGTACCAACCTGGCACACCTCAATCATTGGCTTCCAGTGATTTCCTTCTTATCTCTTCTGTAGTGCAGAGAACAAGGGAGAAAACCTTGTCCATCACTGATATACCCCTACACTGCAGTTTGCAGCCTTTTTCTATGATTTCTCATGTAGTAATAAAACACCCAGTGTCTAGCACTTCTCATTTGGGGCTTTTTGACTTGTTTTCAAATATTAATTTACCAGGCCTTGTATCTCCCTCTCTATAAGTACATCAATAACAAATGGGAAATACTATCCAGTCAGAGTTTTCTCCAGACTCAGCCAAATTGAAGCCACTGATATTGAGCACCTCTGAAAAGCAGACCTTTTTTATTTGAGTGCCACAATACTTTTAGAAGTCCTAAACTTACAGGCATCCGTGTTTGAAAATGTCCACTTATGTGACATGGTCTTGGCAGGACATTGGGAGAACAGGGGGGACAAAAGAGGGCGGACAACTGAAATACTGCAGTGCTCAGGCCTTTGAAAAGTTAGGGCTGTGACAGAAAAGTGACAGCAAGATAAGGTAATACTTGCAGCAGAGCTAATTGCACTGAAGAGTTTGTATGAAAATGTAAAAATACTGAGGAATTGTGGCTACCCTTTGCAGTAGTAAAATTTAAAACCAGACTCCTAATTTTTGGCACATTTGTTAGGTAAGGTGAAGTTTGGGGAAGATCTGTAAATTAGCCACAGGGCAGATTTTTTTGTGGCCGTTGATGAGGTACGTGTTGCTTTTCTTCGTACTTTCCTCTGCTAAAAGAAATCCAGAATATGCAGGGCCTGTCCTGCGGCTGTGTGGCTGGTGTTTGCATGCTGATTCCAGGAACGGCAGTTATATGTTGGTAATACTTGCCTATAGAGTATTTTGTAACAGAAAACATCTGTACTGAAATGAATAAACCAAATCTTAATGTGACAACAGAAAACATGCTGTGACCAGCCTGTCATCATTCATTTAAGGAAGGCAAAGGAAAAAAAAAAAGAGAGTGGGTTTGATTGACTAAACGTCACTGCTCTGGGGAAAAGCGTTCAGAGAAACCTATCAACTCGTCCAACAGATTCAGCCCAGCAGATTCAAAGCACACCTCACATAAAAATCTGTATAGGTTCCCCTTTCTGTTGGCTTAAACCGTGAAGCCAAGTGTGGCGACAAGAACTGCTAAGTTTCCTAAAATCATCCCTTTCTCTCTGTTTGTTACAGTGGAGAAGACATTAGGCAAGGTTATTGCAGGTCCGGAGCGCAGATACCTAACACGAGAAACCCCTGCTGGTCAAGAAATTAACTTTGCTTCCTTTAGCAAAAGTTTGAGTTTTGTCCAAAACTGGACACCCTCCAAGCTGTGCCAGAGCTGGAGCTGGAGTGCCCTGTACCCCCAGTTTCCTGCTCCCCACCTTGTGCTGTGCCTCCTGTGCTCCACAGGACATTCTGAGAGCATCTGAGGTGCCACGAAGCACCCTTTAGGTAATGGGAAGAGGTTATCCAGGTGCCACCTTGCTCCCGTATGTGCGTAACAACATCGTCGCCGTGGCATTATTTCTCTCTCAAAAACAGCCTTTGCTTCTGCTAATTGCAAACAGCTTTCAGCTATGAGGTGCATAGCATTAGCTACTTCCTGTAGCTAATGTTGCTTCTGCAATAAATTGCGTCTTGTGGTAGACTGTCACCAAGGTATCTGTTCAAAAGATGCCATAATAACTGAGTAGAATTGACAAGCCAAGCATGTCTACGAGAACTTTTCTTTGCTAATATACAGATAAAGTTTTTAGTGTGTTATTAAACAACAAAAAACAAGTGAATTTTACCTGAAAATAAATATTTTTAAAGTCGTCACTTGCTTTTCTTTGTAGAAACCAGTTATACAACCAGCTACCTAATGGTCAGCTGCCCCCCAAGGCATGTGGCCCGGATGAAGCTTGCTGTTGTCCTTCTGACAATTTTCCATCTCCAGCTGCTGTCCCGAGACCTCTCAGTAACCCTGCGGCCAAGGGAACTCTGAGAACCAGCAATCTGCCGGAGGAGTTGCGTAAGTGGTTAGCAAATTTGCTCTGTGCAAGATTTTAAAGCACAGCCTGACAGCTTTAGGTGGGAAAGCTCCAGGGGGCAGAAGGCAGGGGGAACAACATTAAGACACAAAGACAACAAGAAAAGAAAAAACTGTGTGTCATCACATCTGCAGGGTGTGAGCATTTGTTTTTGGTGAGATGGAATTAGCCCCTTGAATCCTGAAAACATAATTGTCATTAATTGCTTGTTATTTTGTTTACAAAAAGTAAATACCGTTTAGATTGCTTTCATGACTTCTTGCTAAACAGGATGTCCCTTTGAGGCAGAAGGCACTGAAGTTTACAGTAAAAGACCAATAACAAACAAAGCCCTAGGGATAAAGCGTTTCTGCCTGTCCCAAACCAGACAAATATGTCAAGTCTCGACCTCAGTTTCTCCCTGATCTGGTGAGTGGAGAGGACTTTGGGCCAGGAGCCCACACTGAGGGCTGAGGGCAGAGCAGGCGCTGGTTGTGGTGCTTCCCCTGCCACCAGCCCCTGAAATGCTTTCACCCTTCAACTCTTACGGGAAAGTTATGTTTCAGAAAACTGGCTGCTTAACGCCATGCTGGCCAGCAGGTGAGAAATACCATTGCTAAGAACCCTCCCCATCTCACCTGAGGTTTTGAGTTTTTCTTTATTCTTCATTTTGTGCATCACCTTTCAAATCCAGAGAGCTGGCCTGTAGGAGTGAGTTATGACACCAGACACCACCCTTGGATAGGCCCTACTGTATCAGTGCGTGTATCCTAGATACAGGAATTACTGGATAAAATTGTGTCATTTGTGATACGTGCACAGCTGGATTAGATTAGCCAGCTTGGTTTGCCCTGACCTGCAAATCCATGATTCTTTTGTTAGTAAGGAAATTCCTTCCATGATGGCAAGGGCAGTTGAAGACATTGCTGTCATCAGCTATCCATCCTGCCCAGGCAGGGGGTTAATGCTGCTATAAGGTGAGGCAGTACGGCATCGTGAGGGCTCCTTCAGCTCTCAGTCAGATCAGCGAGCTCTGAGGGAAAGCTGGGCTGGTTGCAGCAGTGCAGGTGACACGAGCTCTGGGTGAGGGTCCAACCTCACCTACGCCAAAGGGCTGGGGAAGAAGCAGCTCTGGCAGCAGGGCAGGACCAGCAGCAGAGTGGTGTTACCCTCTGCAGCTTCCACAGGGGCGCTTGGCAGCAGCAAGGCTGTAGGAGCTTAAATCTAGAGCGAGGTTTCTGGATGGGGGCGGTGAGTTCAACACCAAGCCACTGCGCTATCCCGCATCCATTTTGTAAAGATGGAGGCGGGCAGAACGCGCAGTGCAGTGGAAAAGGAGAGCTGTGGAAGTCTCATCCTCTGAATGGCATGTTTTAATGCGCCGCATATTCATACGGACTCTCTCTTGTAGGCAAGGTCTTTATAACCTATTCAGTGGACACAGCAGTGGAGGTTATGAAATTTGTGAACTTCCTGCTTGTAAATGGATTTCAGACTGCTGTAAGTATTCCTTCCGGAGAAAATGACTTTCAACCAGGGGAGAAAAGAGACATTTTTTTAAAAAGCGGAGGTGATACACTGTCCATTTAAATGTTTTTCTGTTTCTCGTTGCATTTTTTAGGTTAAAGAAGATACAAATAGAATGAACTAGCCTTGGCTCTAAAAGTTGTAACTTAAATGATTTGCCTTTTTGTTTGCTCATATTTTAACTGAATTTTATGCTTTAAAATGTGTTTTAATAATGACCCTGGAAAATTCACACACCAGATACCTGGCACCAGATACCAGATGGGTAATAGTATGAGGTTTTGTGAGCTATTCCATTAACATTGTCTCATATTTGATCTGTAATATCAATATTAAAAAAGGTCAATTTTCATGTTCTTCCCATCCCAGCTTTTTTCTGCAATGCTATTACATCGTTGGTTCTTCAGATGTGAATACCTTTCTGCTAAAAATGATCTAAAATCAGTGTATTTCACACAGCTTAATGAAACAGCCCATCTCATGGTTTCATTTGCTTTGTTACACTTTTAAATGGGATTCTAAAATCACTGGCCTGAAAAGGTCCTACTGTCTAATCCCATAAGCCATCCATATTTTCATTTAACTTCTCGTGAGCTTGCTTCATCATAACAGCCCTCTCTAAGGGAGCCATCCACAGAGGCTCTAGGATTCAGTGTTCATCAAAATCTTGATTCATATTTTCTTATTTCAAGTGCATATGCTGTCTGACCCCTCAACCTTCACTCCTTGGCTTCAGTTCAGGAAAGCATTTAAGCAAGTGGCTATCATTAAACTGAATGAGACTCGGTGGGGGGCTTTGCACACGCTTATTTATTTTCATGAATCAAAGATTTTTTCCAGAGACTGCAATTATACTTCTCTCCAGCAGTTCTGTACTATGACCAATTCATAAGGAAGCTCTGGGCACCATAGAGGTATAGAGTAGAAAGCTCATTATTAGCACCTTTGCTGGACAGGCACTTCTTGGAGCCTGCTGCAGAATAATAAATATAGCAAAAAGGCCCCAAAGCAGGGAAGCAAATACGCTCTCTACTTTCAAAAAGGGAAAAAGAAAGAATTCAGAGCAGAACATGACTTTTCTATCAAAACCTTGGGTAGGTTTATACTTACTCCTTTGGTCACGGTCATTGATTGCCAGTTTCTGGGCTTATTGAGCATGCAGGGAAGTGAGTAGTGTTGGTCATATTCAGTCCTATGAAGTCCTCCACCACTCTGCTCTCACTGAAGTCTGGGTTACTGCATCCAGTATCAGTGACCTGGCTGACTTCCCACCCCACACCCTGACAATGTAGTGCACTATGAAGCTAAAACTTGACACTCAGTACCTACCCTTGCAGACAGAAAATAGTGGACATTTGCATCTATACAGGTAGAGAAGGTAAGCAGCCATCCACCTTCTTGAGGCATTTAGAGAGGCAAAAAAAGCCAATTTGCAAACACTGGATATGTATCATCAGTGGTTGTTTCTTGTTCTGATGAGCAAGAATGCCCGGGGGTTGGGAGCTGGCAGGGCAGGGAGGTTGGTCGAATGGACGACTGAGCAGGAGTTCAGAGGTGTGCCTGCAGCAGCCCCCCTCTGCCGGCACGGGGTGCCTGTGCGGCTCCGCTGTGGACTGCAGGGAAAGGGGAGAAGTTGTGTGCATGCATGGGGGGTGGGGGGAGGGGTGGCAGTGATATTTCTTTCCTAAAGGAATTAGGCATGCATGTTAGAAACTAGGGAAGAGAGCAGGTGCCTTTTCAGTGCCACCAAACAGGGAGGAAAGGCGAAGGGATGCTCACCACAGACTTTCATTCTCTTGCAGATTGATATATTTGAGGACACAGTACGAGGTATTGACATCATTAAGTGGATGGAGCGCTACCTAGGTGATGTATGTAAAGGCAATTTAACCTTGTTCATGACAGAGATGACCTGAGGAAAACAGTTGAATTATTCTAATAGCAACAGGAACAGAATCAAAATGCAAGACCCTACTATGCCCTTCCCCACCACGGCTGAAATGGCAGCAGGGGCCTTGCAGAGAAGGCGTAGGTGAATGTCACTCACTTCTGCATCTTATGGTCCCAGAGCTCTCTCTTTAAGAAATGAAGTGCTAATCCGGGCATCCCTGCCAAATTCCAATGCTGGCTGTTACATTCAGCCTGAAGCTGCCATTGAACAAGTTGTTCCTCCATGTCATTTTTAAATAGTGGGGTTTTGCTATGCTTGGTTAAAATGATATCTGTACTTCATCCCAGGCTGCATAGTAGTGGCTAATGTTCATCCTGCTTCTCACCTGTAGCATTTATGTTGCTATCTAAAACACTAAAAGGTTCTGGATAAGCCATCCCATAGGTAAACTGGAAATTGGTATTCTGTTAGTCGAATGATGGATTTGCTTTCATCACTTTCTATCTATCTAAGCAGTGAAATAGAGATTCATATTGCTGCCAGTTCAGTCTCCCCCAGCAGCAGCTTCCTCTGAAGTTCAAAGGAGCAGTGAGTGCACATCCCCTTTAGGATCAAGCTAAGTGGTCCCATTATACCAGTACAGCTGGACACAAACTGGAGATTCTGTCACTCAACACATGCCGTCATCGGGTGACTTCCTTTGATTCGTGCCTTGCTGGGTAGCCACCAGGCCTCTGATTTCCTCTGGGGAGATCTCCATGGCTCAGGAACAGGATGACAAAGTGGTGGGCTCTCCCCAGCCTGAGCAAGGAAGCTCAACCATCTGAGACAGCACCACACAGGTTTCCTAAATGTGTCCAGCAGGACACCTTACCTCAAGTGCACTGCCACACAGGCATGGTACTACTGCATGCCGAGCCAGCTTGGGGCCTCTGCTGTGGCAATGCAGTCATGCATTTTGGGGCTTTTGTCAGGACAAATCAGGCTTGGGATCACCATGCATAACGGAGGTACTGAAACTAGAAGCCAGGGTGAATTTGCTTTTGCCAAGAATGTCGTTATCACTTAAAATACAAACTGGCAGAACTCCCTCGGGACTCCTGCACAGTCAGTAGGAGAGACCAGTATGTGCAGAGAGCAATTCCCTGCCTCCACATGAGGATCATTCTCTGATTGCCCGCCCCAGAAATGTCTGTTTTCCTCCACTGACTGTAGAGGCAGTTTCTAACTTCAAAACCTTTACATGTGTGAGGAAGAAGGGACTGCTTGGACACAAGCAGGGGGATGTGTGCAACCGGGCATGTCTCTGCGAACCCTCAACATCTGTAAGTGCTTACATGCATGTCAGGCACAAGCAAAAGTAATTCTGGAGTATGTTAAGCCAGTGTAAGGGATAATGGCTCCTTACCGTATTTGACCCTGTGGTGGGGCAAATTCCCTTGATATTGCACAGAAGGAAAGAGTTAATTAAGTGCCAGGCTGACTATGAGCCACAGAGTTGGAAGCCTTACACAGCCTGACGTGGCGGGGATGAAAGACAGGCCCTAGGTAAACAGAAGTAGGAGGCTTTCATCTGCTGAGCCTCTTCACTGGCCCACCCTTAAGGAGGAGAGACATTTCCCAGATAGGAAGGATGGCTCCTCTGTGGAAACCTGAGCTCAGTGGGGGCCTGGGATTAAACAGGTCACAGGCAGGATCTAGGCTGTCCTGGCAAGGTGAGAAGCGTTGCCTTCAGCCCGCTGCAGCAAGGTGGGACAGAGTGTGTAGGTACCCCTGAACCTGCCCGGGGCATCCACAACAGCCCACCTCACTGCACAGACATCTCTCCGCACACCTCACCACTAAGGACATCAGCAAGAAAAGTAGCTGTTTCTGTTGCTGAGAGCCCTAGATGTATCCTCCACAGGCAACTGCCTTTAGTGGCTTTATGTATAAAAACCCATAGATAGTTAAATAGATGCACTTTTACATAAGCTGTTGGAAAACATTTCAGTCTGAATTTGAAGATAAAACTTTTCTGTGTATGTACATAGACACTCTACACTGATAAAAAGTAGCTTTTTATTACAGGGATTCCAACTGTAAACTGGTAGCTGCTAATATATCTCTTGACATTTAGATTTTCTATATTATGAGATCTCGAGAAATAATGAGGAGAACGAGTGTACGAATTCTCCTGCATTTCCTGCCAGAATGAATGAGATCCTCTCATGTTTGCCAAGAACATAAAGATCACTTAAAACACAAACTGGCAGATTTCCGATCTGCCTCTACTAAACACACTGCGTTTCCCAATTTCATAAAAGTGCTTTTCTCCCTAACAGAAGACGGTGATGATAATCATAGCAATCAGTCCAAAATACAAACAGGATGTGGAAGGGGCTGAATCCCAGCTGGACAGGGATGAACACGGCTTACATACTAAGTACATCCACAGGATGGTAAGCAAGGACATGCATTTGCTGTTTTACAAAGACTCTGTCTCTTCTTCTCAAAAGACAAATCTGTCTCCAAATGGCAGGTTCTTTGCTTTGTTTTCCCTAATCCCCATAGTTAAACACCCCCCTTTGGAATTCATTAATCCTCCCTCTCATCAGCTCCGTATGCTCATTAACATCTGCTAAGAGGTTCAAGGAAGAAAAATCCTATTAAACATGCTCATCTTATTCCTCCATATTCTTTATTGTTCGATGTTTTCTTCCCTCCTTCACCTTCTCAAGCCCTTGTTGCCCTGGCATATAGCCCTGAGCACAACCATATCTAACGCTGCCTGACCTCCCTCCCTACAAAGCAGTCCCTATCGCTTTGGCTATCCTGTAACTGAGGTCTTTTCTCGGGCAGCAGTAAAGCTGGCTGAAAGGTGGAATTGCAAAGCGAAGGACAGAGCTGCAAGGAGGAGGGGTCCTGGGGGTGCAGGGCAGCAGGGGATCAGTGGGGGTCACAGATGCCCATCTCTGTGGTCTGCCACAGAAGCAGAAGAAGAGCCCACAGAGCCATGAAAATCATTCTTTTCTCCTTCAGTTATCTCTGTGGTCTGCCACAGGACGGACGCTTAGCCCAGAAGAGCCCACAGAGACATGAAAATCATTCTTTTCTCCTTCAGTTCGCAGTTTGCTGCCTTTCTCACCTTCTAACCCATCCGATCCCCCAGTTTGATCCTGCAGTCAAACTTCTCAGAAGCTGTCACTGACAGATGAGCTCTCAGAAGTACTTTGCTCTCCTTATCACCCCCGGGATGCCTGTGCCTCACTGAGCAGGGACACGAGGGTCAGGATGGGTCCCAGCTCAGGCATGGAGCAGGGACGCAGGAGGCAGCCTGGGTCCCAGCTTGGACACAGAGCTGGCCTCTGGCTGAAGTCTTTCAGCCCATTGGAGACTGAACAGAGGGGCCTTAGTGGAGTCAAGCTTCATCAGTTCTAGATGGATTTCATGGGATTGCAACTGCAGCTAAACCAACAATTATTTCACACCACAGAACTAAATGCTTAAGAAATGTTGACAGATCTTTCCTGTATCCTTTCTGTAGTAATGAAGAATCAGATTAAGTGGCCAAACAAAATGATACCGAGTCCACCAGCAATAGATCAAATCACTTAACAGAAGAGCAGTTTAAGTAAGCAACAAATGTTTTTATGTATAGGATTCAGATGCATGTGAAGGAAAATTAATGCATCGTTACAATAAATCTGGCAATTTGTTCTATTCTAGATGCAGATTGAGTTTATACAACAAGGAAGTATGAACTTCAGATTCATCCCTGTGCTTTTTCCAAATGCCAAAAAGGTAACATACATATATGGATATATACTTGTCGCATGATTAAGCACATAATATTTTGATCACAATGCACCAGATGAAACTCTCAGTTTCTTGGTTCTTAATATCCCACTAGTAATATTCCAAAGCTACATTTTACATGAAAAGTTTATAGTTTTCTGTACATACAAATAAAAAACATTTCATCCACAATATAAATCAGCGCATAAATGTAATTCTGATGATGAATGTACAACTAAAACTCAAATTATCTTGAGCATTGAAAGAATTTAAATGGAGAGAGACAATCTATCCAGCAAGCATGCTTTTTATATTAACCCTTTTATAATTTTGTCCAGATGTAATGCCGATGAGTGAGATGGGAGAGATTTATGACTGATGTGAAGTGAGGATCTGGAAGAGGGTGGGCTGAGAATATAAAAATAAAGAGGATAATAAATATTAAAGTACTAGGCCGTTGCTTGAACTTTAATGGGCCCATCAAAGGGAAACTATAAGGTTTTTTAGGACTTACAATTTCATCTGCGCTCCTTATTGGTTTTGAAGATTCTTTTAAGAATAAGAAAGAAGTAACTAATGCAACAGATTCCTGTCTCTTCTTCCTCATTCTGAGAGAATCTCTTGGATTTTTACACGGCCACAAAAGTTAAACGGCTTCAGTTATAGTTGAGAAATTGCATTCTTCCCCAAACATAGAATGGATGTATTGTATTTGAGTTCACTTTTTGTTGCTGAACGCTGTGTGCACTGTTGGGTAGCTGTCATGTTACCCCTAGGTACAGCTGCATTTTGGAAAAGTAGG